CCCCCCCCCCACCTCCATGCGGAGACTGGGGAAAGGCCACATGAGGACATAGTGAGAAGATGGCCATCTGTGAGTCATGAACTGACTTCTCAATAGAAATCAAATCATGCCAGAATTTTGATCTTGGACTTCTAGCCTCTAGAAGTATGAGAAAATAAATTTCTGTTGTTTAAGCCACCACTTAATGGTATTTTGTTGTGGCAGTTAGAGCTAAGACAACCCATAAGAAGAAGAAAAATCAACCAATAGAAACAGCATCAGAAATGACATATATGACATAATTATTCAAAAGGGACAGTAAAACAGCTATTACAACTATATCCCACATGTTAATAATGCGAGAAAAAGTATTAGGCATGTTAAGTAAAGATATAGAACATATAAAAGAGACTCAAACCAAACTTCGAGATGAAAACTACAATGTCTAAGATTAAACATTTGGAAATTGTGGAAAGAAAATTAGTGAACCTGTTGACATGGTAATAGAAACTATCTGAAATCAAACACAAGGGGAAAAAAGATTGAAAGGCTGAACAGCACAATACTAAGCTGTGTGATAACCTCAAACAAATTAATACATGTATAATTGGAGTACCTAAAGAGAATGGGATGTAATAGAGTATTTTTAAAAAATAATGGTCTAAATATTTTCAAATTTTATAAAAGTATAAACTCGCAGATCCAAGAAACTCAATAAGCCCCAAGCACAAGTATGAAAAAAACTTCATCAAGGCCCATCAGAAACAAATTGCTTCAAATCGGTGATAAAAAGAAAAATTTTAAAGCAGCTATGTAAGCAAAAGATACATTATATAGAAAGGACAAATAATGACAAAATAGATAAAGAAATTCAATATATGGTGGGGCGCCTGGTGGATGGGTCAGTCGTTGAGTGTCCGACTTCAGCTCAGGTCATGATCTTGGGATTCGTGGGTTCAAGCTCTGCATCGGGCTTTGTGCTGACAGCTCAGAGCCTGCAGCCTGCTTTGGTTTCTGTTGTCTCTCTCTTTGGATTCTCTCTCTCTCTCTCTCTCTCTGTGCCCCTTCCCCGCTCACACTCTGTCTCTCTGTTTCTCTCTCAAAAGTAAATAAACATTAAAAAAAAAGAAATTCAATATATGGTTATGGATTGTTTCTGGGAGATGCAAAAGTATACGTTAAACTTAGAGTAAACTGGTTGCAATTTTTTATTTTAGGGTTTAAAGACACTAAGGATTCTCAGCAAAGCCCATTACTTTCTATAAATACTAACATTTATTCAGATTAATCCTCAATTCTCTATTACTATTCTCTAGGTAAGTAAACTATTATTTATATATACATATGATATTTATATTTATTATATTTTTTTCAAAGGAAAAAATGTAAAGTCCTTACAAAAACTTTTGGAAATAGTATAGGAAAGAGCACTATATAGAATAACAATCTATTTGGATTAGTATCATTTCCAATTGTCACAAATATTGAGTAAGTTGATGTGTGTCTAACACTTTTCTAGAAAAGATTGTGCTAATGTTTCTGACCTCTTGTTTCTATGCCTAAATTTTTATTCAGTGGAACAAAGTGTATCTCTCTTGCACAAAATTTCCAGACCAACTTCTCACAACTCAGAATTGAGAAAAATTAACAGTTAATTCTTACAAGTGTTGGTCTTGTAAGACACCTATATCCCCCAAAATATGAGATCCCAAACCTCAAAACAGTCCCAAATTTAAATGTTAGTAACAGTCAAATTTTGTAAATCATACTTGGAAATGCTTCAAGGAACGCAATTATATTCCTGCCTTTTAATTAATTCTTTAAAATAAAAGAATCGAGGTGAAATAAGGTACAACCTATCTTACCCTGGTCTTCATGGAAAACTTTGAAGTTTAGGGCAAAAAAAAAAAAAAAAAAAAAAAAAAAAAAAGCCTCACTGGCTTCCCATGAGCAAGAAGCAAAAATTTTCACTTCATTGATAGGTATGCCACGTGCTATAAAAGGGTGCAACATTCACATCTGTAAGTGCTTTTCATGTTTTAGAAGCTCTCACAAGATGCTTTCCAACACCCACTGTACCTCTGCTAACCCAGCTGCCATAAACTCGAGCGCCAATAGAAAGGTTCCCATCTGCTGGCTTTCTAGCCACAATCCACGGTTTTCATTGTGTCAGCAGTTTGCACACCATGTTGCCGAGTTTCAGGTGAAAGCACTCCTGAAAATATTTCCACAATGTCCCCTTGGAAGTTTATGAGAAACTCTGAGAGCATGACCTAGTGACTCTGCCCATTTATCCATACTTTAGGATTCATCCACCACCCAAGTACCACATCTGACTCCGATTTCTCAAGTACTTTCTAAACTGCTTTACTTTCCACAGAGAGGGCAAAATAAAATACAACAACAAAACAGAAGTAGAACAAAGAAAGTTTCTTGTCTTCTCTATCATTTGCTTAGATGTTTGAGCAGTTTGTGTAAAAATGAAACTCTGAAAACTGTACGTTTCATTCCTGCCTACTCTGCTCCTAGTTCAAAAGAGGCCTTTCTGTTCACTTACCTTTAACTCAATCAATTAGTCAAAAAAATACTGAAAATTTCTTAGAGGCTCAGCTTCTTAGAGATGAAGGTTTATTTAGGGTTTCTGTTAACATATTTGCTTTTGGCTAAAACATATCCCCTGTGGAGATTTTCAGTCCCAAATAAATATTTGAAGACTTAGTCTTTTTGGAAGAAGACACAAATGAGAAGATTTTTGAAAAAGCTCCCCTCTAAATACAGATACTTTTGTAACTGCTCAATCACATGAATTGTATCTTCACTCCTACAAATAAATTTGGCTATATGTGTAATATCTGGCCTGGTTTATGAAATGATTTCTCTTTACAACAAATAAAGTTCTGCCAGATGAACTTCTGCCAAATTTTTAAACTACATCAGCCAATATATTCAGACACAAGAGTTCATTTACTACCATGGAAACCAATCATGTGAATATCTGAGCAATGTGCCTTTTCACATATTTAAATTTCCAATAAGGAGTTTGTTTTAAATCTGGTTAATTTTGCACAAATTTAAACTTGGACACATTCTTCTGAGTTTTCCAGTGATTAAAAAAAGAGAGAGATGAGTTCTTCAGACAACTCTGACCAAAAGACTTCAAGACAACTTAAAATCAGGATATAGGACTTATCTAAAATTGCTCATGGCACTTCTCTCTCTTCTCTTTTACCCAAAAAAATTCCCCACTTCTTCCACTTCTTTCTAATGAAAGGAAATTCAAGAAGGTCCCATTCTTTTCCCTTTTCCTCAAATCTTCCCAAAACAAAAGGAATAAAATCTTCTCCTACAAATTCTTAGAAATGCCTATACTTGGTGGTGCCTGGGTGGCTCAGCTGGTTAAGTGTCCAACTCCTGATTTCGGTTCAGGCCATGATCTCATGGTTCCTGGGATCAAGCACCACATCAGGCTCTGTGCTGACAGCAGCAAGCCCACTTGAGATTCTTTCTCTCCCTCTCTCTCGGCCCCTCCCCGGCTCGTGCTTGCACTTGCTCTATCTCTCTCTTAAAATAAATAAATAAAGTTAAAAAAATAAATTCCTATTGTTAACAAATGGTTTTTTAGGAAAGAGAATTATGAAATGCTGGCACATCTTTCACCAACCAGCTGATAATAAATGATGATAGGTCATTCAAAACTATTCACAGGAAGGAATATTAATGATATTAAGGTAAACCTAAGCCATCAAAAAACACTGAGTGGACTTCTGATTTAACCTTACCAAATATAAAAGGAATAAAATAAAGACTCTAGGAATCTAGCATTAGTCTTGGGTATATAATAATCATAGCTTCAATAGCCACTATCATTTATCAATCAACTCTAAGTGGCTCGGCACTCTGCTTACGCTTTGCACACTGTCATTTCATTTAATCTCAAGTCAACTCTTAGAGACTTCAATCTACAGATAAGCAAACTGAAACTCAAGGGAAATTAAGTAATTTGCCCAAAGTCACATAGCTATAAACGTGCCTGCATTCTCTTTGTCTCCATAGCTCCTGATCTAACTAGCTGACCACTCTATCAGGAAAAAAGACAAAGAGACAAATATAGGTAGTTGGATGGGATTCAATATTTCAAAATTTGATATAATTTTTATACTAAATGAACCAAGCAAACTTGAATTTAAACCACATTCTTTAAAAGATGCTAATTTTTCAGACCCCATTTATCACATAAAAAGAAAGAAATAAAGGCAAGTGGTTAAACTGTCACTTGAGCTGATAGCTATTAGGTAGCACCAACACAAACACAAACACAAACACCCTTGTGCTGTTACCTACATTCAGTCGTGGCTTCTCCATTCAAAGGTTCTCCTTCTCCACTGCTGTAAACTGCAAATACTGAAACTTTATATTTGGTCTCTGGCTGCAGATTTTCTATCACAGTATGAATTGCATCTCTGGGAAGACTTTTCTCTCCAGTCTCAATATCGTCATAAAGCGATTTCCATGAAACCCTGTAACCTCGAACCATTCCTGGAGCAGATGTCCAATAAGCCCCAATTGATGTGTCGGTGATATCTTTAGTAACTAAATCCTTAGGTGAACCACGTTCTAGAATAGAAATGAAAGGGAAATCATTTTTCTTTTATCTACTAGATACGTAAATATTCCTTCATCCTAGTGCACATCCTAACTTGCTGAATTCAGACTCAGTTTGTCTAAGGTTGCCCATTCCTTCTTTCTGAGCCACCTGTCCTTTCCTGTCAGTGCAGCAGACTGATGCACTCAAACTTTAGAATCGTATCTGATTCCTACCTATCACCCTGGTCCCGGTACGTCCAGTCAGATCATAAAGCCCCTGAGGACAAGGATGACATCCAAACATGAAGGGGTACGTGCCTAAAAACGTTTTCTCTTCAAAGGGAAAATTGCATCTAAATCCCAAAATTTTACATTTCATTCCGGTTTTACAACATAGTCAGCCATCGTTCACGAAGATCTTTACATCTTTAGCATCACCTTTTTCTCTCTGATGTAACTTAAATAAGCTCATTTCAATGGATGACTTATAATAACTTCAATGACTTCATATCACTTGCAAATATTAATTCCACCAATCGTTTTTTCATGAAAACTCTACTTGTTCATGCTATTTAAAAGTATAAGTGCAACCTTCCAATAGAGCTGAACTCTAATGAAACTAAAAACCACCAATTCCCCTGGAAAACTTAAAAGCCATCAGTCATCAAAATAAAACACACCACTTGTTCTAGCTGATCGAAAATGTCTGCTACTAAATTTTGGCTCTTTCAATTCAAAAAAAAAAAAAAAATACAACCCAAACGGAAAAATATGGAAACCTCAACTTAATAGGAGGCACAGATGTCTTCCAATAAAACCCTCACTTTCCATAATTTAAATGTAAAATAAATATACAGGTCACTTTATATTGGCTACCTTTACTAGGGTTTATGCCACAGCATGACATAAATATAAAACTATCTGTCTCTACAGCATACATTTCATCAGTAATTGTTTTATATTCAAGCAAATGATATATAATGTTGTTACAAGAATTTTGAAGACTATTATTTTACTTGAAGAGTAAAAATGAGTATCTTAAAAAATACTCATGACGAAACAACTACATTTCAGCACAAAAAGTAAAGGTAAGAATAAATTTAAAAAAAAAAAAGAAATCTGGATAGACAGAAACCTATCATACTGTAGAATTTAGAGGGAAAAATAAATAAAACAGGAGCTAGGCATCTTACCAGAGCCCAAGCACAAATGGAAAATTCTAACTCCATTAAAAATAACTTTAACTGCTGACAGGACATCTCATCTCTGGAGGGAAATTAGTTACATATTTCACTGAAACCCAGAATACTTATTTTCAAGAACACATTGACTTTTTTCCCCCCACAGTGCTTGAGGCTAATACTCATTTGAAGGCCTTCTTGAACTCTATTTCTTACTTAAATGGCCACATATTTTTATATTTTCTCTACTTGGGGGAATATAAACAAACTGTTTGTTTCTGATTCGGTTTGGTTGTTGCTTTTTAAGTTTTATTTTGTTTTGATCATTGACACCCCAGCAACTGGTCTCTAGATTTTCAATGTGCAGCACATGTTTCCTTTGCTTGATATACACCTTGTTTTCCTATGTGCCTCTGAATTTCATAAACTGCAGCTAGGCATAGCCATTGTAAAATAGTTGTACTTGAAAGTGACTGAACTTAAATGAGCCAAAAGCTGCATTAATGGCACTCCAAAAAAAAAGTATAAGATAAATAGATAGAATACGGGAATGTCTTCCAAATTAATACTGAAGTAATTTACAAATAATAGTTTCAGCATCTTTTCCATTCCAAGGTTGTGTTTCTCAGCCTGTCTTCCTCCCTACTTTGTACAGCACTGAGTTTGTGACACTATTTATTTCCATGACAACAGACATCAATCTCACAAACACAGGCTAATGATTTCTTTGTGAGAAAATAATAGACAATTATGGCTGAAGCAATCATACATTCACAAAGATATTTCTGGGCTACAAACAAAAGGAGCCTAGTTCACTAGACAAGCATTCCCATAGACTTTAATCAACTGTTTTAACACTCTCAGGACCTGGAAAGTTGGAACAAAATACTAGTAAAATTTCAGTAAATATCTTTGCAAGGTTTATCAATGTCCAGAAAAGAGTCTATAAAAGCACTTTTTGAAATACAAATGAAGCATTAACTAAAAAACATTCTTAAGTTATAATTAATGACATGACAACACTAAATCCAATGAGCACTGAGTAAATTCTCAATTACAGAAAACAATCCTCAAAAAATTATATTATCTGCCAGCGACACCCAAAGGCATTATATACAGGCAGTGGCATTGCAACATTCCTTATTAGTAACAAAGAAAATGAAATCCAAAGAAGGAAGAAAGGCACCTCAATCCAGGAGCCAAGACTGACAAGACAAACTGCTTCAACAGGCTTCAGTCGGTGTGATAAGAATATTCTTAAATATTAAGCTTATGCTCTTGTCAAACACATTGGTAAACTTTTTTTTCTCCCAAAAAAGCAGGAGGGTTGAGTATTCTAGCTGCTGCATTACACCCAAGAATTTTGAGAATACGATGTCCTTATGACAAGTAAATTTTATCAGGCCTATAACCCTTTAAAAATATTATTTAAATGGAATCTTAGCTTGGACAAATATTGGTTTACAAAAAAAAAAAAAAAAAGAAGCAATTGAATTGTATCCTGTGATACAATTGGCAGACTATCAAGTGGCCAAGCTGGTCTTAAGACCTGGTGTGCAACCAGCTGAGCAAGCCACCAGCAGGCTATGTCGCCCCCTGGGGCCCTGGGAAAAAATAAATGGACTGGACTTGATAAGATACATAGAATCACCTGGGGTGCCAAAGAGTAGGCCATGCCCAAATCAATTAAATTGAAATATGTGGAGATATGCCTAAGCACTGATACTTCCTAAAAAATCTTTTAAATCTCTATTATTCTCACTCCCCTACAATTCTTTATTCTTTCCTCATTTCTTTCTTTTTCCTTATGCTCCTCTCTAAGGCCATTATTTGTTAGATGTGCTTGGTCAGTGCAGGAAGAAACCCTCACACTTGCTTTCACTCTGAAATAAGGTTCCTTCAAAATAAAGACAGGTATGGGGTGCCTGGGTGGCTCAATTGGTAAAGTGTTCAACTTTGGCCCAGGTCATGATCTCACAGTCCACGGGTTCAAGCCCTGTGTCAGGCTCTGTGCTGACAGCTCAGAGCCCGGAGCCTGCTTCAGATTCTGTGTCTCCCTCTCTCTCTGCCCCTCCCCCGCTCACCCTCTGTCTCTTTCTCTCTATCTCATGGCTGACCCTCAGAGAACTGAGAAGTGTGTTGGATCTTTTCATCACATCCTTTCTCCCCCATAACACACATGTGATGTTCACTGCTCTCTCCTCCCCTTCATCCTGTTTCAAAAGGAAGTGGCTCTCAACCCATGCTTCTTATTCAAGAGTTGATCACATTTTCTGGTGAATGAGGTTCAACTGAAGTGTTACCTAGCTAGGCATTTGCTTTGGTTTAAAATACGAATTGCACATTTTGTCCTTGACCTGAGGAACTTCAGACATCAATAACTACAGAAAGAGTATTTGGCTCGGTTTGGTTAGATTGGGTTTGGGAGTCTCTTTTTAGAAAACCTGGGAAGGAAAAGGAAAGGAAGAGGAATAAGAAAGGAAAGATGTCAGAAGACCAGCGTGTAGCCTTTCGGCAGGAGAGATTACAGTTTCTTAAAAGGGGAAGCTATAGAAACGGTCCAGTGAACAGGAACCAATGCCAGTAGTCTTTTTGCCCCTTTGTCACTATGCTTCCCAGAACCTGGATCCACTTCCACTTTAGCAAAGGCTTCCTACCTCCTCGAGTCCCTCTTTTCGCTCTGCCTCAAGACTTATAAATGTTTGTTTTATGATCTTTTAGTTTGTTCAAGATTTCACATAAGCAATATTGTTCTCAATAATATTTAATTTCATGGTACCTGTTTTCTGCTGTTCTGGGGTATATGCCTAGGCTTTGAATATTACTTTTATTTCTGGTAATAGAATTTCTGGCAATCGTTTCAAACAAGTCCTCTTCTATAATGATGGCATGCCTTTATCTTCATCCTTCTCAATAGTTTTCCCAGCTACCTTATCCTCCCCAGTATAGTACCAGTATATTTATAAGAAATAACATGCTTTTCTGTCATAAATTTAAACACATAAAATTTATCAGTTTTTGAGATTTTGATACTCAATATCTCTTCTCTGATTATCAAACATATTTAGATATACTCAAAAGTCGTTTTTCTCATGCCTGCTCACATGCATCTCTGAGCTACCGTTGTGGGAAGTAATTTAGACAGGTGCATTTCTCATGATCTGAACATCCACAAGGGGTTGATTTCTGCTTTTTCCACATATGAAGCCAAAGAACTAATGCCTCATTTAAGTAACTTTCCTACGTTTCCTTAGCCCTTTTCCATTTGCTTTCTGAAAAGCAAATCATCATCCAATTCAAATATAATTATAACGCAAATTAGCCAATGATGATAACTGAAAAATTAATCATAATGAAATGAAACTGTATAAATTGTTCCAGTCAGCTTTCATTGAGTTTCACATACCACTTTCAAAAATAGAAATTAAATTGAAAATGTAATGTAAATCCTCTTCTAAATCAATTTGTCTTTTCCGTTAAAGCTCAGTTCAAAAGTCATCCAACTTTCCACAGCAGAATACAGAAAACCTGCTTCCGCGTTTATGTGGAAACATACTTGATTTACAGCCAATGAATTAGATCCACCACTCCAAAGGACAAAGTTCACTATTGATAAGCTAACAAGTATGTTAAGCAGTATGTAGTTCTTAAAAACCGCTTAACAAGTCACTCTTCAACCTCAAAGCCTGAGATTTCTTCCATAACTGTTATGTCTCCAACATGATTTAGATATTTCTCTGATGAGCCATTAACGTGCAGGAAAGGAAATATGAATTGCTGCTTGGTAATTGTGCTAAAGTTCCCAGGAAACCTCAGAGTTGTTATACTCAGAACATATAATTTTTCAAATTATGAGATAGCAATAAATCTAGGGAAACATAGAGACCTTATTTAGTCTGTCTTGGAGAGGCCCCACGCTACTCAACATCATGCAGAGGAATCCCTATGATGTGCTAAAAACCTCATTGTAACAAAATGTCAGCTGAGTTAGCTTGGTTTGATGTACAGGAAGTTCTTCATGTCTAGGAAGTTGGCAGGTTGCTATAGCAACTGCAACAAAGGAAATGTTGAAAAGTCATCTTTTCCACAGCCAAAAAACAACACTCAGAAACAAAACGAACCATATTATTCCCAAACTGAAATTTTCATTCATTTGTGATCAATCTTTGCATTAAAAATGGCCATTATTCATTTCAGGGTTTCTTCTATGAACAGGTTTTCCTTTCTCTAAATACTAACAGTGACAATTAAAAGTTCCATCAGGACCTAAAGTACTTTTACATTACAACAGTGCTTTAGTAATTACATTAAATCTACTTTAACAACAACAATGGGGGGGGGGGGAATCATGTAAATCAAACCCAAGAGTTTGTGCTCAGATTCCTCTGAAGTTTGGATCTGAAATAGTAATAAACACTGCCTTTGTGATTCTATTTCATACAGTCCTAGAGCAAACCATGAACTTCCCCAATGCCAATGCTAATAAATCTCTCTTCCAGGGACAGGGGAATTTTCTGATCATTGGCTACATTTCAACAAACTAGGAAATGGATTCAAGTTAGGGATGGTTGTAGACCATACTAAATATTTTTTTTAATATTTTTTGAATTGAACAGAATGCACTTCAGACAATCCATAAAATTTCAACCTACAGAATGCTCTTGCCGGCTGGACCATGCCTCTGGATGGAAGAAACATTCCTTCAAGGTCTGCTCTTACCACCTTCTCTCCCAAGAGAAAAACAGATTAGAAAAACAGCGGCCCTCAAAAGCAGTTGCCTGGCTCTGTTTCTGGCTTTCCACTCCCTGCATTTACCATCATATCCTATTCCTGTATATGGTATGTGGATTTGGCTAAGTTAATACAATAAAATGAAATGGAATAACCAGGGGCAAAAATCTACTATTTTAATTTAGTCACAACTATGCTTTCACATATTTGTCAAGTTTACCACACATAATGCAATGGGATAAATATGTTAATAAAATCAGGCTGGCAGCATTTTATATAATCCTTCATGCAGTAAAGAGCTTTGGTATAAATGGGAAAAAAGTATTATTACAATTCAATTATCAATTAACTATAGTTAATCATCTCACTTCCCTCCTTCTCAGGAAATTGAAAACAGTAATTTCTAAGATCTATTTTACTACTCATGTATCTCCCTTAGAGGTAATTTCTGATCAAACATGTGTGTTTGGGGGGGGGGGAGAGGGGGCACATGCATAGAAGTTGGTAGATTTTCTATACTACTTGTACAAAACTATAAAATTATAAACAATTTAGCTATACACTTGGCTTAGAAAAATCACAGCTTAATAGAATATGTTTGCTATTAAATTAAAATGTGTATTTTGTTTTCTAAAGATTGTTAATATATTATTAACAAAAATGCCCTAATTTTTAGCTTTAAGAGATTTGGACTGAGTATGAATATGGTTTGTTTTAAAGTAAGAAAATGCAGAAAAATATCAGAAGGTTAAAAGGTATAAGAAGTAAAACTATTAAATCATTTCCAAGATATTCCTTATGAGAAATTTTCACAAACATCAATAACCTACAATTACTCTGTAGAAAAACAGAAGCTCAAAAGTTTATCCTTAAAAAATCCTATAAACAACCTATGTTGAAAGCCCATGGGAAGTACATGAGAAAGAGAACTTCAAAAGGTCAAAACAAAAAAACAAACTTTTCAGAAATTCTGGACGTTGCTCCAGATAGAAAGATCACATGCTTTACTGATTGGATTATGTCTCTGTAATTAAGGCAAATTCCATTTCTAGTTCTTATTATTTTCAAAACTTTAGGGTAGCTAATCAATATCTCCAAGATACTTACAAAAGCTTTATTTTTAGATATCAATCTTAAAGTGAATATTATTTCTCCTCATGAATTTTATATACATATAGTATTTTACAGTTCACAAAGAGTTTCACTTAGAGTCTCCCATTCGATCTCCACGATAAATCTGGGATGAAGGCCGAGCAATGATCATCCCCTCTTATAGATGGGAAAACTAAGACTCAAGGGGTTAAGGAAACATGTCAAGGTCACATGGCTAACTAGTCAAACCAGGACTCTTCTAGTAATCAGTATTGGACACACTGGTATTTAATCTTTCATTTAAATCCTCTTTTAAAAGTAGATTTCAGGGACTATTGGAATTAAACTCTTGGTCACCATTAGAGATAGGATTGATTAGAATATTTGTTTTTGTTTTAACTATTGACAAAGTCTTGAAGTTTTAATCAAAACTGTCTGTTGTGGGCCTTGTCCCTGTTAATTATAATATCTACAATCCTCCAAGCTCCCGGATCCACCAAATTAGACAGACATTTTACCTAAGGTCACTGTGACTTCACATCACAAAAGGTACTTCAGATTTGTTTTCTTCCTATAACTATTTTCAGTAAGTCATATAAAAGATGGTGATAACAAAAAGGAATCAATGCCTGATTTCCATTTAGGCTTCCAGCTATGGTACCGACTCATTATTGTAATCATCCACTGATATTTCTTTTTAATATCACAACATTCTTATTGCAGTTAGGCCAAATTTGTATTTTCTCCCTCTTACACAGCTTACTTTGTAGTTGTGGTGAGTTAAATGTAAGCTGCCATTATATTTCAAAGGATTCTAAGACATATGAAGCCCTCTGGCAATTAACTCTGCAGAACCAAGGACATAGCTCCAGTCTTGTTGGTGGTTCTTGCTAAGTACCGCATTAACTTCAAACTTCTAACACAGAGCTGAATTTTAGAGGTCATTCAGAAAACAAACAAAGCAAAAACCTGGATTCTCATATTTCTCAAGCTGAATGCTTTTATGCATGGTGAATGAAATGAGACTCAGAGTCAGAAAAGGGTTTCTGTCTGCTCGTGAGTGATGGAAGCAGTCGCATTACCTTGGGCAACCCAAATCCTTTTCACCCACAGATGTTCCCCAAGGCCCTTTCCCACCCTGAATGTCACACACCTCTTCTCCACTCAACCAACCCATGGCATTAAGAACACATTTCTATGACCTTATGATGCACTCAGCTTCCCGGTACACCTCTTCCTGATCACACGTGATTTTTTACAGTTGCTTGCATTCTATGTCTCTGAATCACAGGCAGTTTCATAGTTACTTTTCAATCCAAATTCCTTTTAAGAGAATGGATAGCACATTTCTAGATTTTGTTCTCCAGGAACATTTTCAGCTTCCTAAACAAATCACCAACAAACTCAGGAATTTCTATAGAACGTGACGATAATTACCTTCAAGCGTTGCTCCTTCACCAAACAGGGCATCTCCAGCCCCGGATGCATACAAGGCTGTCACAGATAAGGCGTATTGTGTCCCTTCGTTTAATCCTCTCAGCACAGTTCTGTCTGTGTCTCCCGTCACAGTAACCTCTTGAGTTTCACCCCCTGCCGCTGGGGTGTATGTGATGAGATACTGTTTCACTTTCCCCGGTGCTCTAGTCCAAGACAATTTCATAGTTGATGTTGTGGGGTCAGAAACTCTTAAGTCTCTTGGGTTCCCTCTAACTTCATTAAAAAACAAGAACAACATCAAAACTCATTATTGAATAAAATGACTTGAAAAACATGTTGTTGCTTTGCGTGTGGGGGTGCGTGTTGCGGGGGGGGGGGGGGGGGGTGGTGTCTGTGTTTGTGTGTGGGCGGCACGCGCACCACATCAAATTTATATCCTGAGTGATATTACAGCAATCGTAACTCTTGATTGGCCAACAGAGCCTAAGCATTTCTAAACTGGGCCTTATTTGTCAGTAGAAACAAATCAAAAGGTATCCCATTCCTCTTCAGTGTTTACATAGGTTAATATCTTTCATGTTACTCTCTTTGATGTTAAAAACTACAATCTTTTTCTCTAAAAGTGGAACAAAGCCCTACAACTTGTAAATACGTTGATTAGTATCACAATGTAGGCTTTAACTCCTCCAAGAAATTCTCAATAAAAAGGATTTTATTGGTATCATGCTATGAACTTCTAAATGTAATAACCAGGAAATACACTGATGTGATAAAAATGATAAATGATCAAATGCTATCCTAGAAAAAGTCTTAAGGTAAGAAACAGCCCAAGTGAGGCCTTGCCTTGGGTAAGACTCAGGGGCTGTCCATCCGTTTGCAACTATGATGTTTGGCATTTCATGACTTTTCTGGTAGAGTGGTAATGTCATCTCTGAAGGGTCACAAGGCACCAATCCTATGACACTCTCCACTGGGCACACAACAGCTAACCACTTTCACTCCGAAAAACAGAAAGATGAAGAGCCACTGGATCTTTTTATAGTACCCAGCACAAAGGGCCCTAGATCCCCAACTAGAAAGAGAAAAAAGGAAGTGGTGACTTTCTGAAGGGCAGAGAGGAGGAAGAAATCAGATGGAAAGAGAAGGGGACTCCACAGGACAGGCTATTTAGCTGCTTACACTGGGAGGGAAGTGGTGACGCAGGCCATGCTGGGGTGGATATTCCTTACGAGTGTCTGACTCAGATTCACTGTTTATCGGCAACATGACTCTGAGCTATTATTTAGTGTCCTCAGCCTTGACTTCCTTATAAAAAGGGATAATGATACTAACAATTCCATTGACTCTACGCATGGATCAAATAAGAAAATATATGAAAAGCTCTTTGCACAGAACCTGACACAAACAAGTCCTCAACAACTGTTCATTGTTGCGAATATGTTGTTATTGCTATTATTTTAAATGTTAAAGAATAAAATGAAATAAATAAAATGAAATGAATAAATGAATAAAACGAAAACTATGAATGCCTTAATTTTTCTCAGTAAAACAAATATTTAACATTAATAATTTGCAGCAAATATTAGAATCTATCCTGGGGGCCTAACCATTTAGGTAAAAAACAGGTTATTATTTTAAAATCTTCCTGAAGAAGTAATATATAATCTGTTTCAATGGTGCAGAGCAGTTTGATTTTCAATCCCTAGTCATCCTTCAATTTATATCAGAATATGTAATCATGCTATTTTTAAAAGAATATGTAGATCACAAATAGTATTTGAGTTCTATCGACACAAATAAATGTTGTCATAAGTCAGTCAAAATTTTGGGTAACTCCAGTCTAAAAGGACTACAGTCTAAAATACTCAGATAATCGAGATAAAGTAGTATCCTGTAGTGTCCTGACAGTTGCCTACAGCTTCCCCTGCAGTCAAGAGTTTGGTTGTTACCACGCAGTTGGCATATTTCCTCTACCTTCTTCAGTGGCTGCATTTCCAGTCAGCGGAGACCCAGGTCCTGAGAAATATTCCGGAATTACAGATACTTCATATTTTGTGTCTGGAGTCAGGTTCTCGAGTGTTATCCTCCTCTGATTGGCAGGCGTGGTCACTTCTTTGCTCTCTCCGCCAGCAACTGGTTTATATATAATTCGGTACCTTAACACTCTCCCTGGAGCTTGAGTCCAGGTAATTTTAAAGCTGTCTGTAGTTTCGTCTGTCACCTTTAGGTTTCGAGGTGCTCCTTTTACTGAAATATTTTTTTAAAAAGTTTATTTTACACAAAAAAATGCCAAACTAGCTTTTGATCAATAAATTATAGCATTCCTCTAAACAAATCCAAAAGCAGCATTTTATCAAACATCCTGGTTACAGCATTCATTTAGCCAGATATTAGCTAGGTGATGAAACAATAAATACTCAATATACAGAAAGAAAGCAAGTACTGTTAATTTTTTAATCAAAGAGGTACATAATAGTAAACTTTTAAAATCATAAGTATGTACTCTATTAAATAGTAAATTCATATTGACATAAAATTCAAAAATAAAAATAACTCATGTCTTCAAACATAAGTAGCCAACCCTTTTCCTCTAACTAGATTTTCTCAGAAACATAGGAAAATAATACCTAATACCCAGTTCTACCATATTTACCCACTTGAATGAACTGTCTTACCCAGCCAGTCCCACAGCTAACTTTTTTTATCTGCAGAGTCCGTTGACTTGGAGAATAATTAGACCATACATGTGTTGGACCAAACACACTGTAGACACTTAATGAATGCTACCTGTATCTAAATCTTGAGGTCAAATTGCAATGTGTGTAATGTCCATAGACTAACAGTCTTAAATAGATTTCCATTAAGCCTAAATGAGAACATCATTCAGCTTTATAGTTAGTAAACATGTTTAAATTATTTATTTATTTAAGGAGAAAATTGTTCATTTGGACCACACGTTCAGGGAAGATGGACTAAAGGTTATTGTCTTTTCAATCCACTGGAGTGAAAGTACAGTGCAAAACAACTGCATTTATCTCGCATATAATGAGAAGTTTACCTAAACAGCCAATACATCAGTAGATCACTTCAGGGAGAAAAGAAGTGTATCCCTTAAGAAAAACAATGGCAGTTGGCAGAGTTACAGCCATGATTCATTTTACACGGCAAGGAAAAAGACTAAATTAGCCAGAACAAATGAGACAGATAAACTGATGAGTTTGAATATAGTAGTTTCCCCCACCACTTATCTGCAAGGGTGACATTCCAAGACTTCCCAGAGGATGTTTAAAACCACGAATAGTACTGAACCTTATATACACTATGTTTTTCCTATAGAAGCATACCTATAGTGAAGTTTAATTTATAAATCAGGCACATTAAGAGATTAACAACAACTAATAATAAAATAGAATAATTATAACAATATACTATAATAAAAGTTAAGTGAATGTGGTCTCTCCCTCTCTCAAAATGTCTTATTGTGCTGTACTCACCCTTCCTGTGATAATGTGAGATGATGAAATGAAGTGAGGTGAATGACGTAGGCATTGGGATGTAGCATTAGACTACTATTGACCTTCTAACAATAGCCAGAAGGAAAATCATCTGCTTCTGGACTGTGGTTGACAGTGGGCAACTGAAACCACGGAAAGTGAAGCCACGGATTAAGGGGAACTACTGTACTAGTTTTGAAGCTGAATGTGTAATTTTGAGCCTCAGATTACCCAGAAGGAAAAACATGACTACTTATAAGTTTACTGAAGTTGTTAAATGAGATAATCCATGGAAAACAATTATCACAGCACCTGGCACATAAGTTGGAGCTCAATAATTAGTAGCTTAACAAAGGTACTGAAATCAGAAACTTCCTTATTAACTAAAGAAAGTTTAAATTTCAGATTTCACTACAGACAATAGAATTAGAAATGTATTACCAAATTGTATCATTGGAGCCCAATGAGCAAAAACTAGAGCGTATATGAATGTAGTTGGCTCTACTCAAATACCCTCTGGATTTAAATTTCTTCTTATCCATATTCCCATCCCCATCCCAAAATGCTGAAGGAAAAGGACCAGGCTCATCAAGCAACAATATGGGCATTATAGAGAAATTTTCAGAAAATCAGAAATATCTAAGTATGGATTTCAGGGTTACTCAACACAAAAAATCAAAGAAAAGAAGTAAACTTTGGCCATTATTTTATTTGCTGGATTTCATATAGAAATTTCCCTAAACCATGCACAGAAGGAAAACATCAATCTTATTTGAAAAATCCTTCAGAGAAAAAAGGTTCTCTAGCTTTTATCAGCAAGGTATGCCAACATGTGCCTTTCTTGTTAGCAAATACTTCTTTGTAACCATCTTAATTTCCTCATGTATCTGTTTATGCTTTTTTGCTCATCCCTAGTAAAAATAGAGAACAACTGACGTATCTTTTAATATTTGCAATATTTATCTTAAAGAGTAATTGCCTAGTCTTAGTCTTCTCATGGCCAGGTTCCTTGGTACCCTTTGAATATCCAATGTAGTGAAATGTATCAGAAAGTACTCAACTCTATCCAGTTAAGAGGATATACCTAAACAAACACTGCTTGAAACATTTGGTAAAATGTGTACACCCATGTTCTTAGCAGCATTATTTACAATAGCTAAAAGGTGGAAGCAACCCATGGGTGAGTGGACAATCAAAAAGTGGTATATACATACAATGGAATTTCTTTCAGCCATAAGAAGAAAGGATATTCTGACACAAGCTACAACATGAATGAACCTTGGGGACATTATGCTAAGTGAAATTAGCCAAACACAAAAGGTCAAATACTGTATGATTCCACCCCTATGAGGTAACTAGAGTAGTCAAATTCATAGAAACAGACAAATAGAATGGTGGTTGTCAGGGGCAGTGGGGAGAGGAATGGAGAGTTATTTTTTAATGAATACGGAGTTTCAGTTTTGCAAGATAAAAAAAAGTTCTAGAGACACATGGTGGTAATAATAATATGAGTGTACTAACTGCCACCGAAATGTGCATTTAAAATGGTTAAAATGGTAATTTTATGTTATGTGTATTTTACCACAATTTTTACAAAGAAAAAATATTTGGTAATATATTTGCCATCACAGCCATAGATAAAGCAAACAAAATTCGTAAGTATTTGAACATAACACTGCTGAAACATGGGACAGAAAAATCTGGAAAAGTAGTATTTTGAGAGTTAATTCCATAATTATTAATAGTTCTCTGTATCTCTTAACCTCAAATTCATCAAAATAAATCTAGGGGTTTTTTTACATAAATTTTTTTTCCACTTTCTAAAAGGGTGTATGAATAGCTGTACTTTATAGAGGCTGAATCTTACAAAGACATTCACCATTCTAAACTATAGTTGCAGATGATTATTTCAAACTGTAACCTGGTTCTACAATAAATTGCTAGTTTTTGGAAAACAGGGTCAGAAACCCCATCTCACCTTCCGCAGTGGTCTCTTCTCCAGCTAAGGGAATGCTGAAACCATCCTCATACTCTGCAGTTACGTTGACTAAGTACAGGGTCTCTGGCTTCAAGTTGTTGAGAATGACACTGGTGCTCGATGCTGGCTCCACCACTGTGACCTCATCATCCCCGGTAGCTTCCTTGTAGGTGATGTGGTATGAAAAAACATTTTCTCCAGCGGGAGACCAGTTCGTTTTGAAACTGTAAGAAGTCACCTCAGAAAAACTAAGATCCTTTGGAGGTACATAAGCTATTAAAAAAAAAAAAAAAAAAAAAAAAAAAAAAAAAAAAAAAAAAGAAAGAAAAAAAAAGGCCAGAGTTTGAAATTTTTAAATCTATAAAGCTAAATTGGAACTAATGATTATTTTTCCGAAAGGGCTTATATTCATTGGAAGAATAGTCATTGAGACAAATACATTGAGTACATATGCCACACATGACCTGTGAGAGAGGGCCTCTCACTTACAGCCCTACAAGAAGATCCTGATCATTTGTCTCGACCATTCATAATACTAAGTTACACTGTTTAAAGGACTAATTAAAATTGAACTTGGGGGCACCAGGGTGGCTCAGTCATTTAAGTGACCGATTCTTGATTTTAGCTCAGGTCATGGTGTCACAGTTCATGGGATCAAGCCCCACATCAGGCTCTGTGCTGACAGCTTGGAGCCTGCATGAGATTGTCTCTCCCCTTCTCTCTCTCTGCCCCTCCTGCACTCACGTGTGCACTCTCTCTCTCTCTCTCTCAAAATAACTAAACTTTAAAAATAAAAAATAAAAATAAATAAATAAATAAAATTGAATTTGAATTGAGTTTCTAAACACAAAGCAGTAATGGAATGGTCCTGCCCACAACTGGAATAGTTAAACAGTAACAAACCTAAAATGAACCATCAGTATTTTCCCATTCATCCTCGGCAATCGGATATTAACTTCTGGTGATAGACAGATATTTCAAGATTATAATTAAGGGACTCTTCCTAACAAAAGAGTATTCATTAAACTGAGTCATAGGAAGAGCCAACATTTAAGGCACACTGCTGTTCTCAGGGAACAAACAATCGAATTGGAAAGAAGGAGAGTGTGACGTTATTAACAAAACAGAGCAGTACCTATGAACGCCAAATGACCGGAAGTGATACTAAGTGTTCCAGCACCAGAGCAGTTAAGGAAGCCTTGATGAAAGAGATGGGACTTTTAACTGAATGTTCAAAACCAGAATTTGAACAAATGAAGAAAAGAGGGTAGGGAAGTCCTGCTTGAGGAATAATGCCTAAAAGTGTAAGGGAAAGGGAATGCGAAAGAAGAATTCAAACATCCAGGACTCTGTTCTAGTCACCTTTGATTCAAAAGACTTGGTTCACCATCTAGCACATAGTAGACACTCAACTAGTGGTTGTTGAATTGAATATGGCAAATAAGTGTGATAAAGCTGGTAACCAGCCATGCTTAAGGATCTAGGATCGAAAATATCTCGTGACTCATGGTAAACAGCTTTTTCATCAATAAATACATGATCCATACCCAAAATAAAGTCCTATCTCAGAGCTAAATAAACTAAGCTCAAAAGATTTCTATAAGGCAGCAAAATTCCTTTTTCTAGCTCATGAAAAGAACAATCCACAATTATATATCCTCAATTTTATAACCAAATGCTTTGTTCATGAACAGATAACCTCGACTCTACAAAGTCTACTAACCTTTTTTCTTTATAGCTGCCAACTCTTGCTCAATTCTAAGGCAAATAGACTGTGTGAGTTCAAAAGATATTCTCTGAAAAGCATCAAAATCTTCCACTGTGAACACGTGGGTCTCAGCAGGAGGAGAGGCAATAGCTTCTAATTCTGAGCGAACAGCATCCTTCACACCAACTGCAAAGATTTCCACATCGGAATTCCTTAGTTTTATAGCAGGATCTCTGAAAGCATCTGAAGATTTCCCATCAGTGATAAGAATCATGACCTTTGGTACGTTGCCTCTTGAACCCTTGCTAGGCACAAATATTTTCTCTCTGACATAAGTCATTGCTTTCCCAGTGTTTGTAGATCCTCCTCTGTAGGGGAAGGTGTTTATTGCTTCGATTATATCTTCAACTTTGTTGAATTTTTTCAAAGTGAACTCAGTATGAGGATCCCGGCTGTACTGGACAAGACTTATCTGTACCCTATTTGGTGAAATCTCGAAACTTTTTACAAGAACTTCCAGAAAGGCTCTAACTTTAACAAAGTTTGCAATCCCAATGCTATAAGAACCATCAACCAAAAACACAATATCAGCTTTTATATCCACACCACGTGAGCATTCTGTAAGAAGAAAGAAAGTCCATTAAAGTTCAACAAATACAAATCAGTCATTAAAATATAGATATCTGGTTTTCTCAGTATGCACGCTTATTTAAAAGAAAACTATTGCAGGGTGCCTGGGTGGCTCAGTCAGTTGAGCATCCGACTTCCGCCCAGGTCATGATCTCATGGTTCATGAGTTCAAGCCCCATGTCAGGCTCTGTGCTGACAGCTCAGAGACTGGAGCCTGCTTCAAATTCTGTGCCTCCTTCTCCCTCTGCCCCAACCCACTTGCTTTCTGTCTTTGTCTCTCTCAAAAATAAATAAACATTAAAAAATTTTTTTAATTTTTTAAAGAAAACTATTGTAAATATTTTGTTTAAAATTAAACCCAATGCAGGAAGGCATACTGTCAAACGAACCATCACCTATTCCAAACTCAATGATATACCCATGAACTTACCCACTTGAACTTTCATGGGCTGAGTCTTCTCCATTATTGAAACGGGTTCACTGGATGTCAGTCCCTTCATGGCAGAAACACTGATCTGGTATTCTGTGTCTGCTGAAAGGTCACGAACACTGAGTGCGGTGGTCTGAGGCCCCACACTCAGTGCGTGCTGTCGGCTTCCGACGGTCATTGGTGTAAGGAGGACTTTATAGCCAGTCACTGGGCTAGGAGATGGACTCCAAGTTAGTTTAATGTATTTTGATGACACTTCCGTGGCAATCAAATTTGAAGGAGGTTCAATAACTAAAAAGTAACGAGTAGAACAGTGATTAAAAACAGTGAAATGCAACCCATAGGTTTGAACATTTGAGCCTCCCAAGTCAAATTAATCATGAAGGCATCAAGAAGAGTTGCCCAATCCCAAGTCTTCACTTTCACCTGTACACATCCAAACCAAAAAAGACTCAGTGCCTGATTTTTAATCAGGGAACTGAGAAAATTAAGGGGAAAGAAAGTCATTGGAAGAAATCAATAAAAAGATGTCTGATGCCTAATTTCTTCTCCGGGACCAAGGTTTCCATTCTAATTTTGGTATTTTACTCATCATCTTTATTCTTAGGTACCAAAGTGGGCACTCAATAAATATTTGCTCAACCAATGACTTGCTCAATTCTTTTTCTGTTTTCATGATATTATAAAGATTAAAATGTAATCTTTAAAAGATACTTTATAATATGCAAAGAAAGATAAAGGATTCAGCAGTTCTTAAATGACAGTTCTTATAATCTTAGACAACTTTATTCCCACTTGTTTCAAGCTAAGAAAAAATGTTCAACTCTATTCATAATGCCACCAGGAGTGACACATTTTACAACATGTATATCGACAAAGAAATATCAATCATGTAAAACATTTCTATCCTTATACAGTCATGTATGTAACAGACAACAAAGTATTTGAAGACATTTCACATCAAATTTTCACACTTTTACATTTGTCAATGTAATCAACTTCCCAGAATGTACAGTTCCAATTTTTATTTTAATCTCAGCCTGCAAGAAATGGATGATAAAACAGGCACCAGTTTACTCGTGGCCTCCTCAAAAAGGCAATCATATCTCCATATGTATACATATGTATAAAAATGATGTCTAAAAAGTGAGTAGTGGGGGGCATGGAGAAGCAACAGATGTGCCATCTGGATGTTTGGCCAAAACTTTTGAGTGATGCAAAGACAGAATAGGGAAAAGAAGTCACGGGCTAAGCCAGCAAGAGTGAGAGGCCCTGAAGAACAGTGTGAACACCTGGAATACAGCCCCGCGCATCATACAAGCAGAGTTCAAACAGTGGCAGGACAGAAATTTGGTCTACCCTCACACGTGCAGTGTGGACAGTGTACGACAGGTAAGAAATAGAGTATTTAAGAGGTGCATGGGTGGCTCAGACAGTTAAGCGTCAGACTTTGGCTCAGGTCAAAGTGTGTGAGTTCTAGCCCCACATGGAGCTCACTGCTGTCAGCCTGTCAGTGCAGAAGCCTCTTCAGATCCTCTGTTCTCCTCTCTCTGCCCCTCCCCGTCTTTTGCTCTCCCAAAAATAAATAACGATATTTCAAAAAATAGAGTATTGAAAAGACTACATAAAGAGAGGCTAATCAGGGAAAAGTGGGGTGAGGGGATTGATTTTGTAATAGCACAGATCAAAAGAATCAGACATTAGGCAGTAAAACGAAGAAGATTTGGAGCCCATGAAGTAATGAGAAGGGGTTCTGAAATAGAATTGGGGCCAGTGAACATTGCCAAAACACTTGGGGTTTGGAGATTAAAGAGTTTACATGACTGAAGATGTAGCTATTCCAAACTTATCTTTAATCACTTGTCAATTCTCAGGCTAAGAGGACAACAATCATGGAAATTGTGACTTTCTAATGCCCAAAAGGATGTTTATGAAATGTCTTCCGAAATGTCTTTTCCTTCTCCCATGTATTTAGAAACAATAACTGATAAAAATGGGAAATTCTTCCAGATGTGGAAGGATCAAACTGACTGATCTTTGATCTATTCTTAAAAGTTTTGAAAACATGCAGAGAATGATGATAGAAAACCCTTTTTTTCACCACTTAACACGAACATTTAACAGTGTTCTTATTAGCTGATGTTGCCAAATGCTAAGATACATGTCTTCCCAGCCTGCCAATGTTTAAATCAGAGTGTAAGACAATGAAAGCAAGTACCTGAATAGCATAATTATGGGCAGACGCTCAACATGCACAAAATGGTCTTAGACAAAAAGAGCAAGTCAAACTTGTTCAAATAAGACTTTTTAAGAACTTGATAATGATATAAATTTTTTTTTTAATTTTTTTTTCAACGTTTATTTATTTTTGGGACAGAGAGAGACAGAGCATGAATGGGGGAGGGGCAGAGAGAGAGGGAGACACAGAATCGGAAACAGGCTCCAGGCTCTGAGCCATCAGCCCAGAGCCCGACGCGGGGCTCGAACTCACAGACCGCGAGATCGTGACCTGGCTGAAGTCGGACGCTTAACCGACTGCGCCACCCAGGCACCCCTAAATATTTTTATTTAATGCTCCACTGGGGGAGGGGGACCAATACAAATAATATCAAGAAGTTGAGTTACTGAAAAACCATACACATGGAGTCTACAACTGGAGAATCACTAGAAGATATGTTTGAGTAAAAATGTCTACCTTTAGAATTCCTATAAAGCTACAAATGCCATCAAATAATGGAAAAGGCTAACACATGGGAACAGTGAACAATTTACTCACCTTCCTCTCCACTAACCAATTCACCAAGCTGTTCATCAACACCTGAGCACACCTGAGAGATGATCTCATTCTGAATATCCACAATTGCATCAAAGTTGGCCACGTTGAAAACATGGTTTAATGAAGGCGTGGAGGCGATTTGTTTGAGTTCTTTTGCATCTGCAGCTTTAATGCCTTAAAAACAAAAGGACAAGGATATATTGAAAAGAAAAATGTGCTGAATTCGGGGAGTTCTTTGCTTTCTCAGTCCTTCACAAGTAAAGACATTTTTAAATCCTTATTTAGTCATAAACCAGAATTGGTTTGCTTCATAACGAATGTGCAACTGTTCAAATGACAAAGGCATTTTATAATTTCACATAAAGTGGCCAGCCAAAGAGGAAAATGAATGGTTAGTGAAACAGAGTGGGCTCTCATCCCAACCATGCCATCATTTGTCCCTGCCATCTGTAAAGATAATACTTTCTTCTTCCAGAGTCCTGAATGAGCTGGAGCCCTCTGAATTCCACAAGTATTACATAATATAGGAAACACATTAAAAAAAAAAAAGAAACACTTAATGATAATACAAGGAGGATCTTTATTAGAATCAGTGGCCCAGCGTTCTTTGAAAAACAGAGGGCTGGCAAAAATATATATATGTATATATGAATACCACCTCACAATGCATAGGCTGAGGGAGTTCTAGGAGAGAAATACATAAGCAGAATTTTTACTGAAAGATAACCTGGCTTAACACTACACTATAAAATGCAGTGAACACTTGTAATAGCATCCTTCCTTCAGGAATCAACCTTTCCTCTTCCTAAGCAGGCAGTATTGAAGTAGTTCTAAAGTGAAAATAATCAGCCAAACGTGACCTACCCAAAGAGAAAACTTCAACCCCAATACTCCGAAGCTCTCTTGCTGGAATTTCCACTTCATCCTGGGACTTGCCATCCGTAATAATAATTGCCACTTTAGGAAAGCCAACTCTCGCTCCAGCAGATTCCGTGAAAGTATTTTTAATTAAGTAATCAATGGCATCCCCTGAAGCGAAAAAGAAGCATATTTGTTCCCTTCTTACTACACAATTTTGCCAAGGTCAAAAACTATGTGGTTAACTTCAAACTTATTTAAGCTATGATAACTGTGTGATGCTTAATTTCTTTCCCAAACAGGTGTTCCACTTATTTTTAAACAATAATGAACTTTGTAAAACATACCTGTCATTGTGTTGCCACCTTTGTATGGAATTTTTTTAATTGCAGCAAGAAGCTCATCCCTTTGGTAGTATTGACTTAAGTTAAATTCAGTCCTGGTATCAGAGCTGTACTGAACAACTCCAACCCTTGTCTTCTCTTCTCCGATGTCAAAAGCGGACACAAGAGCAGCAATAAAGTCTAAAATGTACTTAAAATTATTTCTTCCCACACTCCATGAGCCATCCACGAGGAACACCAGATCAGTCCAGGCACTGACAGAGCATTCTGAAATGCATTGGATATATTTTTAATTGATGTATTATTAACGTGCTTCATAGTCAAAGACTACAAGCTAACATTGAAAAACTGTTGTCTCCTTAAATCATTTTGTTGATCAGAATGAATTCACATTGTTCTTCACCCACAACCGACATGCACAAAAGAATAAACTGTTTTAATTGCGTATACAGAAGCATTTTCAGTGCTTTCATTTAACACGCATTTATGAAACTACATGGCTCTAAATTACTATGTAAGACATCGTGCAAGAAAAGATAAATAGAAAAATGACCTACTCTCCAAGAGCATGTGATGGAAGTATTTATGCTATCAACTTATCTATTTTTATAAATGATATCCTTCCTCTTTTCTCCAAGTAAAAATTACACAAAACATCTGGGAGACATACAAAACGAGTGTAAGCAGTGTCTTCATTCCTTGGTATTTAGCAATAAATACAAAACAACTGCTGTCCAATTCAAACAGATGCAGTTAAGTTGAAGAAAAGAGAAAAACTTTTAAAATTCTTCTGCATTTTATAATGTAATTGTCTGAAGTTTGCAGTGGGTTCGTCTAGAGGGTTAACAGAGTCTAACACAAGTCAAAACAAGCATAAATATGATGCAAGGTAGTCAAAATATCTTATTGTCCTAATTTTCAGTGCATCTAAATTGGAAGCCTAAAACCTACTTTTACAAAACAAAGAGTAGAAAAACACATTTCAATTCAGAAGTAAAAATTCACATTACATCCTTAAATTACTGAAATGCAATGATTGGCTTTTATAACTAAACATCCTATCTTTCTCTTCTTTGTGGTCAGAAGGGAAACAAACTGATTCTTATGAAAATCTGTATTTTTAAGGCAACACTAAGTGAATTTTCTGAAGATGTTTTAGTCCTTGCAGTCAGTTGGTGGATAATAAAAGAAATATTTGGCTAGGAAGAGAAGGAAAGGGTCCTGGAAAATTTTGCAAGCTAAATACAAGTTGCACGCCTAAATAATTTTTGCACACCATTTAATGGGCCCATTTAAGTCTATTGAATAGTCAATATTTGGTATAATGCTTTGATTTAGAATAAATATTGATGGCTCGGAGAAAATATTAGCATTATAACTACATACTACAAACTTCACTTCGGATTATTAGGCATCAGAAGGAATGATAAACAATTATTTGTAGAGAAAAATTACAGATAAAGGGGACTTTGTATTCATAATCCTTTTATTGTCATCCTGGGTCATAAATCCATCTTTTATAAGGTGGCAAATTAGGAGTCCAAGAAACTCCTTAAAGGCCCACCCCAGTAAGTCAGACAAAGCAATGGAAGACAAAGGAAGCTAGGAACTGCAAAAACAAGACTAAATAAAATTCCTTTTGTTTGATTACAAACGCACCAAGGATCACTGTGTACCTTATTTTGTTTGGGGTTGGGCTCCTAATTGTATATTATAAAGAAAATTGTAAACAATGTTTTTCATGCCTTTTTCTTCTCTAACTTGCCTCCTGCATTCTTTGTGGGGGCGGAATAATAATAGAGCTAGTAGTGAAAGAATGTATCAGAATGACCTGGGAAGTTGTTTCAAACTGCTTAAGACTCCATTCCAATTTCTCACCCCACTGATTCCCAGACACCACCTCCCCAACATCATCTCTGGAAAATGTGTAATTATTCTTTAGATAGGTCAAGACCCACATGTTACCAAAGATGTTGTGCACAGACACTGGAAATAGCTACACTGCCATCAATTAAAGTCATCTAAATGCCCTAGAGATGAACATAACATATACATAGATTGAGAAGTATATTTTCATGGCAACTGAATTTCTTCAAACACAGTGAAGGCATCTCTCTTGTGTTCCAGCCTTAAATTTCTCCTATATCCCTATTTCAATCAGTTTCTCTTTGAGAAATGAGTTAAGTTCAGTGATGAGCTTTGTTTTTCACCTACTGCCAAAATCCTGCAAAAAAAAAAAAAGTGGACACGCACCAGTTCAAAACACTCCCAGTAAAATGAATATTTAGTAACTAGAATGAAAAATTGACTAGAAACCCAGAATGTAAGGTAATATAACTATTTAGTCATATATTACTATTATGTTGTCTGTATTTGTTCTAGATAACACCAATAGAAATTAACACAGGAATAAAATCAAACTATGTATATAATTTGGAACATCTCCTTTATATTACAGTATGACTTCTATAAATCCAAGCAAAAACATTAAGGGAAATACTTACTTTGTATCTCTGGTTTTCCAGGTTTCTTCTCCCCTGGCTTTGTTGGGCCACCTGTTTGAACTGAATCAAAACCTGATTATTACAAAAAGAAATGAACCCTTACAAATAGTTCCTTTAAAAAATAAATATGTTGTTTTCTACCACTGTCTTTCAATGTTTATTTATTTATTTTTGAGAAAAAGAGATAGTGGAGGAGGGGCAGAGAGAGAGAGAGAGAGAAAATCCCAAACTGACTCCACACTGTCAGCACAGAGCCCGAGAGAGGGTTCAATCTCATCAACTGAGAGAGATCATGACCTGAGCAGAAATCAAGAGTGGGACACGCAGCCGACTGAGCCACCCACACGCCCCTACACCGCTGTCTCTCAAATGTACGGTCCATGCCCAGCTGCTCAAAGAATACTGCCAAATAAGCAATGCCTTGCAAATGAACTATTTTTAGTGAGATTTTAGATGTACTTCAAAAAGACATTAACATTGTTGCCTGGCAAAGTTTAATGTTTTTAATAGTTTTCATTCATAACACTCCTGCTGCTTCCAGAGACCAGGGTTATAAACCAGGAATGGATTATTAACATCCACTAATGACTACGATCATAGAAAGAACTGCTAATACTGATACAAACTAACTCTGCATAACAGATTAAATCTGAAAGTGGGAGAAGTCTTCTGCATAATAAAAAAGGATAGAAGTACTTTATATGTGTGCTTACTTGTTAATTGTCCTATAACTGGTACACTCTCTTCTACTTCATCATATGAAGTGATTGTCACCACATACTCTATTTCAGGTATAAGGTCTTTTAATAAAGTTTCAGTGGTACTAGCTGCAAGGGTAAATTCTTTACTAGGCCCATCTGGAAATATAGAAAGGAAAATATGAATGCAATAAAATATCTTTCACATATAACATGACACAATATAATATAATTCACAGATACACTCAAAATCTAAAAAATTAAATATATATGCATTTTTTTTCAGAACACCCACACATCATCTTCTTCTGTCTTCTAAAACCAGAACTTTGAAATGTAATAAATGGGCTGGCGTTGACCTTACTTATTATAATCATATTCAGTATTTGTTTGAGGACTCAAGGATTCCTCTGGAATAAAGATATACCAGAATATCAAACCAAAACCCCCCATTGTTTTTTAGGGCTAATGGCAGATAACAAAATTATTTCATAAATGAGACAAAAAAATTAATTTTAATTTTAAATTATGTGTTGGAGGAGAATGAAGAAAGGCAAGTAGGGGATGAAAATCAACTCAAAGACGACATTATAGGTTAAAATTAAACTGTAGTAGGAAGCAGTCTGTGTGGAAGCAATGCATTTTCCGGACTCAAATAGGTGCATACATTAATGGGTAACCATAGTCTTCTAAATTGACTTAACCAGGTATCAAACATTTCAAAATACAGTGTACTGGGTATACACTCGTATATAGATTATGTTCATTTTTTTTTAATATTTATTTATTTTTGAGACAGGAAGAGACAGCATGAATGGGGGAGGGTCAGAGAGAGAGGGAGACACAGAATCTGAAACAGGCTCCAGGCTCCGGGCTGTCAGCACAGAGCCTGACGCGGGGCTCGAACTCACGGACCGCGAGATCATGACCTGAGCCGAAGTCGGACGCTTAACCGACTGAGCCACCCAGGCGCCCCGATTATGTTCATTCTTAATTCAATCAGGAACGATGGTTCCTAGGCACTAAGTGCCTGGTAGGATTTTTAATTATATTAAATTTTCATCAAAAGATAAATAATCAATAAAGGTAACAGGTATAATAGAACCCTTAGAAACATTCCTGGTTTTTGTGTGGAACGTGCAGAACCGACCAGGGCTCCCACAGGACAAGCCAGCAGGGCTCTGTTGGGTTCGGTGGTCTCAGTGCCAGTTTGGGGAGTACAGGAGTCAGTAATTTCCAACATATGGAAACTGATAGCACTGTTTTTCAACGGACTTTTTGCCTTGGAATGAGTGAATTAGTGAACTGCAAGTATATTTGGGGAGAAAGATTCAAAATGGAAAAAGTAAATTCTGGACCCCTTAAGTTCTCACATCATATTTTTTTAAAAAATTCCAATTCCTTGATAAATTAGCATTTAAAATCACTCGTAGTTTCAGAAAACTTAAATTATAGCAACATCATTCATCTCTACTGTCGGCCAGACAAGACTTCTTCCCACCACCTGGCCAGTGCAAATGGCAATGGTTATTTTTCCGTGCCATGTTAAAACTAAAAGTTAATCAATAGAGATTAGTTCTCCACAGTTGGGCAACATCATGAACACTAAAGATAACTCTTGACAACAACCCACACAAGATTTTTTGTTTGTTTTTTAAAGACTCTGTGTCTAGGATCTACGGAATCCACCTAGCCAAAGTAAATTCTTATCTTCCATCATGGTAGCTCAACATTATTCCAGAAGAATGTTTCCTGTGTACTGAAATGTATAAGACACTGGGTAAGGCATAAGAACTCACTTATTCACTTGATAATTTAAATGTTAAAAATACTAATTCAAGAAAAATATCAAGAAATGAGAATTCTACTTTATAAAATCAAAGATTAGCAGCAATACTCTGGTCAGGTAAAAAAAAAAAAAGTAACTCTTTTAATAACAACAGCTTAGCACGGCAAACCATATAATAAAGCTCAACACTACAAAAATATAACAGTGGGTACTAAGCTGGAAATTTGGAGACCTGAGTCCACTAAATATCTGGTGACATTAGCTAAATCCTTAAGGTTCTCTAAATTTCAGCTTTCTTATAATGAAATGGAAGGAGGAGAGAAGACTGGATTATATCACGTTTAATGTCTCTATTTTAAAACCCCAACATTTCAAAACTTACCTGTTGTAGAGTCCACTGTTATTCTGTAACCCACAATTGGATCAGCTGGTTTTGCCCATGACATATGAACAGTATTTTCATCTTTTATTTTAAAATTCAAGTCTGAAGGTGGGTCAACTGCAAAAGAGAGAGTTGATATCAATTACATTTTCCAATGTCACAAAATGGTCAACTTAATCAATAAAGAATTGTGTCGAGCAAAGCTTACTAAAATTGTCTTTGCATAAATTTGTTTCCAACAAATATAGAAGATATCTTGTTGGATAAGAATAAAATTAAAAGCTGACAAGATATGACAAAACATCAGAGAGTATACATATTACAGAAGACAGCACAAAACACTTTTGATTCTTGAGTTGCTAGGTCATCCAAGAATGGCCAGCAAAATCAAGCAAAATAGAAACATATCTGGATACAAGTACATACAAGTACAATGAAATCACATATAATAACCACATATGCAAACAATTCACATAACAATTAAAGGAATCTAATACATGCTGAGTGCATTTTGAATAAGCATGCCAAATCACAACCTGCTTGTAACCATAGAAGTTAATTTAGAACAGTGACATAGTACTTTTTTTCCATAATGTGGAAAAGAATCAATGATGTTTTTTGTTCATTCTCTGCATCATTGTCTTGTTATTAATTTTTGTTGATACATCTCAATCTGTGCAGAGATGAAATATGTATTTTAATGAAAGGGAGAGATCATGGGAAATTTAGCACTGTTATGTTGCACAAGGAAATATACATTTAAATGTATATTCATGTTCTCATAGACAAGTAATCAAAAGTAGTAATAGGGATGTTAATAATGTTTAAATGTATAAAAAGTAATATACAGACGTCTATAAAACTAATATTCTGCCTGTTTACACCACTACGCTGTATGTTTGCAAGGTGTAAACCAACACTGTTATTTTCCTTTGCAGCAGGTATACTCCATACTAGAAGTGGCATTTTAGGTTAAAATGCCAGTATGGTCCTTTACAAAACAATGGTTAATCATGGAAAGACAACATCAATGTATACTTATGGACATTTATTTATAGAACTTAAAGAAAACAGTGAAGAAGGATCAGCAATCTGAAGACATGACTGTGCATAAAAACTTGGAGAAGTCAATGACAGGAATAATTGAAAAGTACAGAAAGAAATAGTTTACATACAGAACTATATAGCTTCATGCATGTGTCAATGAAATGTTGACTTGCTTTTAGTTTCCCACAATAAACGAAAGCCTCCATGTACAATAGTCATTACACAAAGACGTTTCAGAAATATTTTATAATGATATTCCCTCTGCCATGTTCATGCCTCATCATGCAGCATTGTACTGACTCACTGTCAGTGCATGGTCAATGCATTATAAATTACTACTCTTGAGGGAGGTCAACAAAGTAAGATGACTTTCAGCCATACTCTTCTTAAAGTGTTTAAGTCTGAAAGTATTCCTTGTGAGTCAGAATTTTTGCATCTGTTTTGAAGGATTACAATCTCCTTTTAGGTTTTCATAGAGGTCAATTGAAATACAGTAGTAGCTTTGAGACATGAGTCATAGAATTTAACTGGGGTTAGGGATTTATGTAATATTAAAAGCACATTTTAATGGAAATAAAACAAAATAAGCAAACATTTGCTTTAATGAACTGCTGCTTCCAACTGTAGGTGATGGCTTTTTATTTTTATTGGATACTCTAGCAATGGAATAAATGTTATTTTCTTACTATCCATACACAGGCAGTGAGATTAGACTATTAATCTACATGCACGGTTTAATTATTCAACATTCTGCTATCTGTAATCATACTGCAAGGTTTAGCTGTAGTCATCGCTTAGTATAACAAGCATGCAACAAATGTTAATACAACAAGAGGTATTAAGAATATCATTATAAAATATTGTTCCAGTAGCAATGGCTCAGGACAAATTTAATGCAAAGGCAGACGCAACTGGCCTGAGCATGCTTTAAAAAAAAAATCAGTACATGGAAAAACAGTACCACCAACCTTGCAGGGAAATTGACCTGAAGCAGCAGACATTAGGTTAAGACTGCTGAAGGGCAGCAGCGGCCCACCTTGTTGATTTCCAAATGACCAGGATTCCAGAAAAACTGAAAAATTGACTGTTGGGAAAAGTCTTTAACATTTCAGAGGTTTTTAAGGTGTTCATAGAAACTCAGATGTGGTACTTGGGAATCGAAAGAATGGCTGGCTAGCATGTGTACGACAGAGAGCCCACTCCACTCTTCTTCCTCCCACTTTTATCACACGTGAAACCTTTCAGCTTTGCCAGTCCATTTATACGTTTTTGTTTGTTTGTTTGTTTGTTTCTTTGTTTTGCAAAAAAAAGATAATAAAGCAGATGTGAGTATGGACCCACGTCAACTTGAATCAATGCAAAATGTATTTTCATTAATTTTGAAAATCTTTTATTTTGTACAAAAATAATTCACAACTGTCATTGCATTGTCACAAGCAGTGTCTATGTTCCCTAAAACAATGGAATGTTCCAGATGCTGGAATATTTCAGATATGAGCTACCTACATAGGGATTATGATGACAAAGAGTCATAGTTGCATACAATGAGAATCTGAACCAAGAGAAATAGAACTTAAATTATAAATAAATAATATAGCAATCAGATATATATTCAAAAAACCTGAACACTGATAATGAAAAGACTAAAATTTTAGGTATTCATGACTCTAGTAGTGTAATTTCCCATTTATGAATAGTGTTTTCTGTTATCAACAAGCTGTGCTATGCAAACTGCATCCTGGTGATATTCTGGTTTCATGAATTGGCAGGATTTAGGACTTTTTAGGAATGATAATAATAGTTAGCATTCTCTGAGTGTCTGCTATGCAACAGGTTGAGTACAAGTCACTTTATACGTTGTCTCTTTTTTTTCCTGATAACAATCCAGCATAACGTGCCCTGTTAGCCCTGTTTCACAGATGAGTCAGTGAAATTTAGAGAGGTGAACACAACTAAAAAGCAGCAAACCTTTAATCCCATAGTCTGACTCCAGAGCACACAACTCTCTACAATACTGGGTTGAATGTAAAGATTAGGAAATATTTGAGTGAACGACTAACTTTAGAAAGCAATATTTGTACACAGGTGCTTATTAACATATATACCTCTACATTTTTCAATCTATAAAAAGCATTATTTGATGCCTGCTCAATAATAAATTTGTGGTATTCAGATATTTCCAATTCAGATATAGATAGAATTTGACAAATTAATTTTACACACTTTGTTTAAAACTAAAGAATCTAGCTTAACATATAATTTAAAAAACTTTTCATTATGGCAACCAAAAGGAAGATATGTCCAAGAGTTTACCAACTCTACAGAGATTAATGGATGGATGGAAAGATGGACAGGTTGGAGGAGAGAGTCTAGTAAGTTTTGCTAACACATAAAATATGTTAAAGATAAAGCAGAATTCGACAACATACTACTAAAATATCATCTTGACGAACTAGTAACATTTTTAGTCTGGTCTTTGTGATAACAACACTGAAAAGGATACTGCCCTAATGGCAAAAACCTTTAGAAGTATGCCAAGAGTGGTTTTACTCTATGCAATTGGCATTAATTTATATCTTCCATCCAAGGCTAGTATAAGTTTAATGATCTTTGCCATGATATATTCATTTTATTTGTGTTTATAAGATACCAAAAATAAACAGTTGAAAAGTTAGTATTTCAAACAAGTGATGGATTATTCCTTACACGTTACAGAATGTGTTCCTTCCTTTAACTGGGTTGGCCAGTTTTTAAGCAAGAGAGAACAGTGTAGGCAAACCGGCACTAAACCAGGAGAAAATCTGTGTCTCATCTATACCTTATCTCGAAGTAACCACATTAGTTGACTGAGCTACTCAGCCTATCTTCCTCATTTGGAAAATGAGAGAATTAGAATAGATGATTAGAAAGTTCCTCTGTAGTCCAAAGTGTCTGTTTTATGACACGGGATTATCAGATAAACATAGACATACAATTATATATATATATATATATATATATATATATATCAATTAGCCTCTTAACCTAGACACAAGACAGTTAAAGCTTATGGCCTCAACTCACTGCTGAATTGATAATATCCAGGCACTCCTCATAAATTATAAATATAAATCAAACTTACTAAAATTAAAACCCTGTTTTTCACAAGATGTGTTCATCTTGAATTCTAGATTAATGAGAAAGGTGTCTAATTCTCATTAACCTTTAAATGTGAAATGTTAAATTTTCTAAATGGCAATTAATATACCGTATGATACATGAACCAAAAATGATTCGTACATTATAGGTCATACAGAACACTGGCCACTATTAAAAAAAAAAGAAGAAGATGCAAAAAGTATGTGCCAAACTTTTTAATTAACATGAAAAAGAGCACTGTTTTCAACGTATAAAAAATTAAGTAAGTAGAAATTCGTTGAAAAATAGTATGACTACGACAGTTCAAGTATGAGTTGTAAAAGGGAAAGAAAAGCAATTATGGGCATTTCATAACTAAGATCAAAATGACAAAGCAGGAAATGGGGAGGTCAGTTGAAATTTTGAAATGTGCCCCAATATTTCCAAGAAATTCTCTTTCCAGCCATCATTCCCAGAAGGGTCTTGGCCACAAATTCTGTTAGCTCTTCACAGGCTCGATGGGACCACTTAGTTGGTAGTTAGCACCAAGCTGTGCTGTCCAACACAGGAGCCGTATGCGTCCAGCCACATGTGGCTATCAAGCACTTGAAACATGCCCAGTTCAAAATGAAATGCGCTGCAAGTGTAAAATGCACAGCCAATTTCAAAGACTTAGCACAAAATTGTAAAATATCTCACTAATAATCTTTAAATTGATTACATGTTAAAGTGATAACTGTGTGGATGTATTAAGTTAAATATACTATAAGAAGTAGTTTCTCATGTTTCTTTTTCCTATTTTAGTGTGACAACCAGAAACTTTAAGTTACACATGTGGCTTGCATATGTGGCTTATAATATATTTCTATCTGACAGTACCAAATTAGAGAATAAGGCACAAAAAATGAATCCCATTAAAATATAATTACTAAATGCTGACCTAAGGAGTTGGGAGACAAGAAAGACACAGCTTAAGAAAGCAAAAGAAAGAGCTGCACCAAATTGAAAAGATAAAATGTGAGAAATATGGAAATCATCAGTAATGTAGATAGTAAAATGTTCTCCCTTTTGTTGTTGAGTACAGTTGACACACAATGTTAAAACGTTCTTTTTAACTGCACTTTGCTAACCAGCCATTATCCAATTGAGAATTGATTTTTTCCACTTACATCATTTCCAACTTCTTTTCCTAAAAATTCTCAAATCTTTCTGATTTTCAAATAACTATTTTCTTAATGAGCAATAAATAGGCCACTTGAGTGAATTATCTAAAAATATCTTTAGTAGGGCTTCTAGAAGTTCCTCAAATAAAATTCCTTCCTAACAACGACATAGAAAGGAACATTAAATGCAACCTCATCCGCGTATTACTTCACAGAAGCCACTCTGAAAAGCCTCTACATTGACACAGCATCAGTTAGATAAAAAGAACAGCAAGTTTCTGTCACTTTTCTAAGCAGGCCATCCATTTTGGAGCCTCTTTGTTTTCCTTAATCTTAATTTTTTTATACCTGCAGTCCTGAAGTCGAAAACCAAACACAATAGAAAGTTATTGAAAATATCAGTGTCGTCAAGAAACAGCTCTACTTTCCCACAATCTCTAAAAAAGCACAACCCACTCTCAAACCCCCACAGCTGCCCCATGCATGTCTTTTCTCCCTTAACCCCATCAGGGGGCATTTTTTATTGAAAAAAAAAAAAAAGATGTCTGTTATGGTATTACCCGATTTATCTTGCAGAGCAATAACTCTAGTTTGTCAGGTCTTGAATCATACTTGAGGGAACACAGAAGCTCTCATTGGGTTAATATAGAGAAATAACTTTTTCAATAAATACTGAGAAATTAGGGCATCAAGGGCACACAACAAAAAAGAATAAACTGAGGTTGAAATAAGCAAAGGTCCTTCATTTTCCACAAAGCAGGGCCACACGGAGCTGTTGTGACAGACCATGGGGCCACGACACCCATCTCCCAGCCCCTGACAGACTCTGCTCAGGTCTGATGCTAGAGGGAAGAAGGGAGGGACCGAAGCTGGGCTCCTCTGGCTCCCACTTGCTTCCTGGGTTGGAAACCTTGGCACAGATCCAAGCTAACTGCGCGGGGCTGGGCCTGAGCCACGTTCCTCCCGAAAACCAAACAGGGACAGCAGTCACCCTGGGCCACGCCAACACATCCTGGGTCCGGATCTCAGCTTGCCACCCATCCCCTAGGCGGTGTGTGGCTGCCACCTCACTTTGCCTGCACCGTCAGCCTAACGACTGCGCTCCCCACAAAACACACAGAGACGCAGAGCCGACACTGTTGGAGTCTTTTATTTCATGCTGTCACCGAGGTCGCAGCCCGGAGCCAGGTGGTAAACAGCCACGCGAGTAAGCGTGCCCGCGCTCCGGGGCTCCTGGGTACCACCAGGAGTCATCCTGTTCGTAGAGCTGGGTGCAGCTGTCGCCCCCTCCCGGACGGCCGGTCCTCTCGGAAGGCAGCACTGTAGGTGGCAGTGTGGACAGCACACCGCAGGGACAAGCGCAAGGAGACCACACAGCACTGTACGGAATGGATTAAACAGAATACGAAAGAGCTGGACCTGAGAGCCAGAAAATGGACAGACCTCAGGAGAAGGGGGCGTTTCTCTTAGAGGAGAGAAACCCCCGGAGAAAACACGAAGTACAGAAAAAAACAGAGCAAGCAATAGTGGCAAGATTGATTTGTTTTTTTCCTTTCTAGAATTCTGCATTGTCACTGACAGAAGGGGGAGGAAGAGCAGTTTACCTTCTGCCTCAATGGAAGACAGCAGCAGGGCCGCGCCCAGGGCGGCAAGCGCTGGGGGAAGCCTGGTCCGCATGCTCGGCCTCCGAGCTCACAGCCGCATGAAGGGATCTGCGGGAGGAAGCAGTGACCGTATCAGAACCGGGTCCGGGCAGGCCCGGAACCAGGTTAGAACTGGAGCCTGGACCTGGGCCAGGACCCGACCAGATCTGCCTTAATAACCGCAGGGCCCAGCCTCGAATATAATGGGCCTATTGTGGAGCAGTGTAAGTCAAGTTCATCTACTGCAGTTTAATCATGGCACTAAGAGGGATTTCAAGTTTAAAGAGGGTCCTGTTTTCCTGGAGGTTGGTCCTGCTTAGCATCCCCGGGTGACTGCCTTACCAGGCCCCACATGACTTCATCCTGCCTTGGTGATGGCTAATTCAGAGGTCATTTTATCCCTGACTCAACTAAATGTCTCTTCCAGCTGGGGATTTTATTTGGCCTGCAGCTTTTTCCTAGCTGCTGAACTCTTTAGGTAACTGTACTTTAGTGGTCTCAAGGTAATTTGGAAAAGTATAATAAACCTCTTTTACTCTCTTTTTTTCTTCATTTTGTTCTGCCTACCAATATGCAGCTCTTTAAGGTCTGAAATGGATTATACAGAAATATGTAAGGCCCAACTGAAACCTGACCCTACTGCTAGCTGTGTTCTCTTCACATCTGATAAATCCTTTACCCAAAATGAGGAGATAACAATTCTAAGATATATAATTTTAAAAAACAGGCAATAGAAGAGACAAAACACTCTCATCTGTTTTCCCAAGAGATTTTTAATAAAAATTCCCAATAATAATTAATATTTTCATTGAACTGTCCACTTAATCCAGAAGATTACGAGAATGTATCCTCCACAGGAGAATACATTCTATTCTAATTTTTCCTGATTCTGGAACTAGGTTATTAATTTCTTAAACACAAAGAGTCTTATTCATCTTTCGTGATTCCCAGCGCATAGTAGGTGCTTAACTATGTTAGCAGAAGGGAATCTTCTAAAATATTCTAAGGTCCAATCCACAGACAAAAGCCACTAGCAATGAGCTGAATTGGGAAGTTGCCAGAGGCAAGACATAAAAAGAGAGTTGACTGGGAAGTACATAAGTTATTGTAAGGCAACAGGCAAGGCTGCTTGAGAAACGAAGTCCTGCTTGGGAATCCAAAAATGAGCCAAAGGTCAAGCCCTCTTTGAGAAAAGAAACTGACAAGCTCCAACCATGCCCTTCCAAATTATTGGCACAATGTATTAGGGCATCTTTCCTCGGCCTGAGTGTAAATTGCGTTTTAAATGTCTGATGAGCAGGCGTGCCAAATTGCCCAGAGCTCCTTTTTATGAGGCCAAGATTAAAATGTTGGCGCTGCTCAGAAGATTCAAGGACTCCAGCAATTTCTTTCTCCCTAATTAACAGCTGTTTGACATTTCTAACCCTCTTCAACCATCAGTGAAAAGCAGGAGGTGAGGCTAGCCCATTGTTCCCATCAGCTGGCCTTAACTTTGCTACAATAATTTCCAGTTCAGTTGGCAGTCGTGCTCGCGAAGAGTTAAAGGCTGACTGACAATCCAACCATCAAAAAGCTGCGTTCAGACTTTTTTTTTTTTAAATTCCTGAACTCTTCACACACAAAAAAAAACCCTGAGAAGTGGAAGCGCTTTTGTCTGGGTCGAGAGCGCCACCTATTGGCTGCCTGACTCAGCGGCAAGAATGAATCACGTCGCGTCGGGATATCGGAACGTACAGTCAGTTCTACCAGCCCGCCAGGCATTCCGTCCATATGTTTAAAAAAAAGTTTTCTCTCCTTTTAGCCAAAACATTTACGTGAACGCTAAGGTCGGTGCTTCATTGAGCGTTCTCAGACATAAATGTCTGAAAGCGGCCGCCCCTACGTGTCCGCAAGGATTCCCTCACTTCACCCTCATGAATGAAAATGAGTCAGTTGCGGAGGAGCGGGTGCGGGGAGAGGGGAGGGGGAGGGGGTAGGTCTTAAGAAACTGGTCTCCTTCCACCCACTGCCCCCCTCCCACTCTCCTGGAAAAGACCAATTCTTTAACTCCTGAGTGCAGTTAAAAAAGAAAATTACACCTCCCCTCACCCACGGGGTTCCTCCAGATCCGTGCGCGTCACCTACCTCCTCTTTGACCCACTGCGACCTTGACATTAGTTAGCCAAGGGCGAGTTTAGCGCTCCTTTCCTTTCTTGCTCCATCCTTCCCCAGTACTCCTGCATACTTTAGGTTACGTAGTCCACGCTGCGGCCGGAGGGGGACAGAAAGGGGGTCCTGGAACGCCCCGCAAGGGTCACCCGAAGGTGCCCAAGGACCCTCGATTTGGGGTACCTCTTTTGCTCCCTGTCTTCGCGTCTCCGCTCCATAAATGAACCCGGCGCCCCACGCTCTCTGATCTTTATACACTATCTAGGATTTGCGACGCAAACTACTTCGAAGGTTCCACGGACCCCTCGACCAAGGCACTCGGGAAGAGGTCGGGAAGGGCGAGCTTTCTCGAGAAGTTGAGGAAGTCGGCCAAGGCTGCGTCTCCTAGAGCCGGATTAACCCACCATCATCGCAGATGCTTTGAAAAGCCGAGGAGCCAAAACACTCGACGAGGAATCTGTCTCAAGATGCCACACACGCCCGCGCAGCTTCGACGAGCTGCAGAGCACTCAGCCGGCCCGCCAAAGAATTCCGCGCCGTGCGTCACTAAAATACCTTCCCAGCGGCGCGGCTGCACCACCGCACCCCGGGAAAGCTCCGACCAAGAGGCAGCGAGCGGCCGGTGGCCCCAGAACCTGGGCCGCCCTTCCTGGAAGTCGACAGCATCTATAGATGAAATCCCTCTACGAGCAGAAACGCGGAACAGGGTGCTTCACGCACACACGGCCGCCCTGCATCAACTCGTAGGAGAAGCTACAACTCTTTGTCCCGCAAAGATAAAATGAATCACAGAACCCCAGGACACCCGGCAAATCCCAGGCACTGCTCCACTCTGACCAGTCCAAACGGGTCTCGCGCGCGGTCCCTAGGGACTTAGGGCAGCGCAAGGAACGGGCTAGAAACAAGGTTCCCTAGTTATCTTTGTGAGGGACGGGGTAAGGGGAAAGGGCTAGAAGCCGGACTAACCTGGGGCGGTGGTGTCCGAGGTAGCGGCGGCGACAGCGGCTTCCCGGCGTCGTAGAAGGCTGCGCTCGGCGTGACCCTCCGCACGCCCAGGCAATTGGCGCCGCGCTCCAGGAGCACCTGGCGGCTGCCGGGAGGCGGGCAGCGGCAAGGCCACCAAGGTTGTGAAGTGTTGGAGTGTCCCGGCGGGAGCCGCAGGCGCCGCCGGACGGGCGGAGACTGCCCGGGACCAAAGCTGCCCGCGCGCGGACGCGTCTGCGACGGCTCGCCTTGGTCGAGTGGGAAGAGGCTCCGCGCCGCGGGCTACTTAATAGAGGGCTGTTCCCGGCTCTCAGTTTACTCGGTTACGAAACGCCTGAGAAGGTGGACGGCTGCCACGGGGTGATGTATGCTCCTCCGGCGGTGAAGGAGGTCTACTTTTGGGAACGTGTGCATACTTCCAGCATTCCTTCGGCGTGAGGTGGCGATCCCCGTAGTAGCAATGCCCCGCCGGGAAGGGGGGGGGGAATACAGGGAGGGGGGGAAGAGGGAGGAAGCGGGGAGGGGGACAGCCGCAGCCGGGTTCCCTGCCAAGGGAAGCCGCGCACTCTTCTGCTTGGGGCGGGCTGGGGAGCTCGGGTTTCCCTATCCTTGCGATTTTCTTTAATGAATTTATTTTCCTAAATTAAGAACAATGGGAGGGAGGGAAGCGACTCTTAGTTTCAGAACTGCAAGAATGTGTGACCGACCCCACCCCACCCTAGTCCCATCCCCCATCATCACCACCTACACTTCCCTCCCCCTCCGTCCTGGGTGCACTTAAAACCGATTTACAGGGTTTCCATTAACTAACTGTCTGTGCACGCGGCGCGCCTTCTGTCTTTTTCAATCTCTGAGCGGCCGATTGGAAACCCGTACAGCCGCCCTCGCGGGGCTCAGCGACGGATGGCTTTCCCAGTCCTGTCTTACTTCGCTAATGCTTCGGGACGGAACTAAGAGGCTTAATTTGAGCCAAGACAGAGGGCAAGGGACGCAATGAAACCTTGGGGTCCTCAGCACAAGAAGCCGCTAGGGAACAAGTTGCAATCACGTTGGAAATTTGGCATCCGGACCACAGCATAACCTGGCCCCCAGCGGAGGCTTTGGACCAGAAACTCTGCCTTCCAACCCCGCGGGGTCGAGACGAATGAAAGTAAATTTCCCCCAACTACCAAAGAGATGGACGCCAAATGAGAGCTGACATTCTGCCAGCATCTTCCTCTTTTTACCGCCCCCTCCCCCCAATCGGCTCCACCCCCTTGGCCTAGAGCAGGAAACCTGGCACTCAGGGTTGCCAAATTGTACTAGATGCACGGGAGGAAGCGCGGGGCTCTAACACTGTAGCATCAGAAAAACGCTCCAGGAGAGGTTCAGATTACACACGTCTGTGCCCTGGTCACAAGCTCTGCACTTTTGGCCTTTTGAAGCCCAGAGGTTAACCCTGAAAGGGTGAGCACCCTGGATGGGGGAGGGGGCCCGGAGGGGAACGCGGGAGCTATGCCCCTGGAATTGACCGCCAGCAATAGTAAAAGGGGAGGTCTTGTCGCCAATGTAAACCTCTCTTCCCTATTTGACTGACGTTTGCAAATCTGGCCTTCCCTCCAACAGGCGTGATAGTCTCTGAACTTGCCTTTAGAATGACAAGAACTTGCAGAGCGCCCCCCTCCATTCCGCCCCACTCACAGCTGCCTCCAGCTAAAGCCAGAGGAAGCCAGAGAGAAGGTTGGAGGGAAAGAATGGAGAAAAATGGGAATCTCCACCTCTGCACATTCTCTGAGTACACACGGCCCACTCGAAAACCCGCTGGGCAGCTGTCACAAAGAGCCCACACACGCGCACAGTGCCCAGGCGTTTTCCCCCTTCAAACTCTCACAACCCGGGTGTCCGGCGCAAACCCCTAGGGCA